TGACTGACTGACATGTGATCTATCAATGCACAGCCCAAACCACTGGACGGATCGGGCCGAAATTTGGCATGCAGGTAGATGTTATGACGTAGCAATCCGCTAAGAAAGGATTTTGATCAATTCTACCCCCAAGGGGATAAAATAGGGAATGAAAGTTTGTATGAAACCTTGTCAATTTTAAACCGATCGGGCTGAGACTTTGCATGCAGGTATAAAAAGAATCATAGATGAAGTTCATTGTATTTAATACAAGCCTGAGAACGAAAACTGTAGTCTACACTTCAGCTTTACACCGAAGCGAAGCGAGGCCGCTAGTAATATAATATTTTCTAAATATCCTTTTATTAAAAAGTTATATAGTGCCTTTTCTTTACGAATTAGATGTCGCTTAAGCAAAAATCTATTGAAAAGAAAACTGTTGAGATTTTACAAATTTGTTATATTATCCTGTCTATTTTTAAATATGAAAATTTTTGTGTTGCTTTAACAAACATTCTTTAATAAAACATCATCCATATAGTCATTAAAAATTAAATTTACTGACACAACTATAGGAGAATTTTATAGAGTTTGCCAGTCAAACCTTTATTGTAATAATATGAAATGGGTTGTTTAGAATAAAACTTTATTATAATAATTGATCATGTGCGTAGGCGACTTTAAAAAAATACAGCTTTGAAATAAATGAGGATTTGTCGAAGACCTATTTCCAAGATTTATTCAACGTGTTCAATTTAAATATGCAAGTAATTCAGACATTTAAAATGCTCATGTTACAATAGTACAAACATAAATAAAGTGACGAAATCCTGTGTACCAAAATGAAAATAAAAGGAATATTTATACCATCACATCATCTAAATCTTACAAATAATAAACGACATTTGACAGATAGACGTCATTGGCTTTCTTATACTTATTGACTGTTCCTAAGTTCCTAAAATTATATATTATTTAAAAGCACAAAATGGATTAAAACTACTAAATAAACTAAATACTTATATCAAACTATATAACTACTTATATGAACGACCTATTCTACCTACAAGTTTTCTTGTTTAAATTAGGCCAAATTTTCTCCTTCAAATTAAACACTCCACTGTTTTGATCCATGAATCCCACTTTTTAACTCAGCACGGTTTGCGTGGCTTTGAGGCCACAATACAACGTTGTATGCTTTTACCGCCTCTATAAATTACAAATACATTTCTCCAAAGCATTGTATGTTTGTCATCAAATACGTATCAAGACTACAATTTATAGTTGCAACTTAATCTAAGTCGAGTTTCTTGTTACTTATTGGGTATTTACTCGTACGCTAACTTTGTTATTTGGCGTAACTTGACTTTGTAATAATACTTTACTGTTAAAGTTGTCGTTATGTTCGATGGTGGAATTATGAGATTAATTCGAGTTTGTTTGGTAGAATTGCTGAGATGTTTGATGAATGATCGCGAAACAAACATTTGTTTTCGGTTCGGGTGTTCGTAATATGATCTTTGTATTTCATGGACGTGGGCGCTGAAACTTTTTAATTAACTGCGGAATAATCAATATGAGCTCGTGTTATATCAAAGTTAATGTCTGTATACTCATCTGTTGTCGGTTGGTCAGTTTGTAACGATCTGTTGATATTTTTAGGTTCTCAGGTAAAATGAATCTCTTATCTATTAGACAAGTCCGTCCGTCCGTCCGTCTGTGGTGTTGTTTCAGCGGCCAAACCGTAAGAGATAGATAAAGGGAATATTTAAGTTATATGTTAAGAATAGTCTGATAAGAATACAAACCGGATTTGAGTAACGTAGCACTTCCGGTTTTCGAGAAATCACGAATTTCAAACGAAACCACAAAACCTCCGAAGTTCTCAATTAATTAAATACATTTTTTTTTAATCAGGTTTTGGTGAACATTTGGTTCACTGGTTTGCTAGTTTTGTTTAATAGGGTATTTGACAGTATTAAAAATAAAGTGCCAATTGTTAGCATCTGTATTTAGAATGAATATTGGCAGTAGTTTTTACTATTTTTACTTTTAATTTTTTTGTTTTTTTCGCACGTTTAACTTTGGGTAAGCTGGAGAATGCGTTACGCGTTAGGAAAAGTGTGTTCGGGCGAGGCGAACGGGACTTGAGTGGGGGATATAAGCAGGAGATATAAAAATTTAGACTAAAACATTTAAAAAAAAAAATATTAACAAAGTTTAGGAATGCCGTTTAAGCATAAAAAATGTACAATTAAAGTTAAATACAACGATTAATAGTACCCAATGTAGCAATGTGTGCTCAACCATTTTTTGGGGAACGTAAGACCCGCCTCATATGACACATTAAGTTATCAAAATCATCCTTACTATTTAAGTCACTTTTAATGTTAATTCCTCAATTCGATTTTATAACACTTTTAACTTGAAAACAATTAGGAACACTTATTTTTCTATCATTAGTGCAAACAAAACTACTCTGTCGAATAAATAGAAAAATTTTACTGTAATTAAGATTAAGAATGTCGCTCTGTCGGTAATAGCCACCTAGTAGTCGGCAACCAGTCTTTTTACAGTGTCGGGACAGCAATAATTATGTCTGTCATTGGCTCCAGGCATCTTGGTGCAGCTAAAGATTTCCAATAATCTATGGCTATTGAAATATTTTACCTACCGGTTTTTCCCTGTACAACTTCCAATTGCAGAGTCGATTAGAGCCATCTTTAACTACCATTTAAGTGCGATCAAGTATTCAACATGGTAGCTATTTATTAGTAAATAGGGATTTTTGTTTCTCAATAAGAAGTAATTTTTTTTAAACTATTTGGTACTTTGTCTGCTATGGGGTTTGCAAAACATACAAAAGCTGTAAAATAGTTCGTCTCAAATAAATCAGCTCCATTTAACACGGAATCGGAGAATACATTATAATAATTTTGGCATTTGAAAACAAAAATTAGTCAAAACTTAGTTCACAGTGAAAGTATATTTATATCAGTATTCAAAATGAGTTAAGATAAGCTTCTTTTTTTAGATAGGTCCGAGAAATGACTCCACCCCACTTGATGTTAAGAGAAGGTGAAGTCCAGACGCGAAGATAGCTGATTCAGCAGTTCTACCTGCCACACCAGCCATTCTCACCCTGCCGGCCTGCATATTACTTCTTCACGCCTCTTTTAAAGGATCCCCGGTTGTAAGAGGGAGGGAACACGTGAGCGGGCAGAGCATTCTATTTACGGATAGTGCGACAAAGAATGAGTCACCAAATTTCTTTGTACGCTTTGGAATTGTGGCCACAGTTAGATGGTGACAACGTAGGCCAGCGCGCGTGGTCCTCTGAAGGAAAGGGGAAGGTGGAATAAGAGAGAATAACTCTTCAGAACACTCGCCGTGGTACAGACGATAGAACGTGCTTAGTGACGCAACGTCACGGCGTAATTGAAGAGGCTTGAGGTGTTTAGTCACCTCCTCATCGCCTATAATGCGGATCGCGCGCCGCTGTAACCTATCCAAAGCATAGAGCAAGTATTTGGCGGCGCCATGCCAGAGGTGCGAGCAATATTCCGCTATATTAAATACATATTATATTATATATATACTAGCTGACTCAGCGAACTTCGTACTACTATAAAAAAGGGGCAGGTGGTAGAAGAGGAAATTTAGGGTTGTATGTATTTTTTAATACCACATTATAAAAGAATAAATATGGTCCAAAAACTTTTTAGGGGTGTGTAACGTAGTGTTCTATCAATATCCTGGGATAATATTCCTCCTAACCTATATGAGAACACTACGTTACAATACCCAATAATTTGAATTTTGACGCGAAGGCGCATTGTAGGTTTCAGAACACTACGTTACAGGCGGACAATCATTATCACTTAAGGATATGAAAAATAGATAGTTGCCGATTCTCAAACCCACGGAATATGCATATAAAATTTTATAAAAATCGGTCGGGCCGTTTCGCAGGAGTATGGTAACAAACATTGTGACACGAGAATTTTATATATAAGATAATAGTATAAAGAGTTTATATTTTACACAAATATCTCATCAATTTAAATTTTCATTCGTCGAAATTATGCAACGTATATATATTCGCTTACGTTTCGCTTCAAGCACGCGGTGAAATCCCTTTCCGTTTCCTAACCGAAATATAGGCAGTGATAAAATAAAGGTGATATAAGATCTCCTAGACTGCAATGCTATTTAGATTCTGCATGCGATAAGGTACCGGAGGTAGGCCGTTCTTTCCGTATAAAAAATACATTTGGCCGGAGACAGCCCGCTTAGGGTGGCTTTTATCCTCTTAACTTCCTACTCTGCTGAAATAGTTATTTGAATTTTCTTCAATTTGAATGCGACGGTAAAACGGGCCGCCCGTTTATAATGAATGTACTTAGCGTAAGATTTAACGATGGCGACGGTTTCTCGAATAGAAATTGTTCTTAGTTGATTTGGTTTTCTTTGGAATGATAGATCATATTTGGGCAGAAAATATATTGTAAGTACCTACCTATGTGGTGTTTCAAATACCCTTAATTTACATTTTTCCGCAATCTAATAATCGTTTGTGTGGTTTTAAACTTAACAAGCTATGTCAAGTTACATGTCGAACCTTTCATAGTCACCATTTTTTGTACGGTAATTTTCTGTACGACTGATTATAATATTAATTTGCAATCTCTGTCTTGCCTTCTGCTTCAAAGATCCTGAATTCAAATCCCAATATTTATGTCTTTGATCAGCACATATATTAGGTATTCACACATTATTTACGTTATTTCACTTACAATTGATTTCCAATGTTATTTTTAAGCTCTGCTTAATTTGAGACTGTATAATTATTTTTATTTTTTATATATTTACCCGCTGTTATATTACTGTATTTGCTGATTAAGCTGAGACAACGTCCTGATTAACCCTTATTGTTACTTTAACTTTCTTCTTTCTTTCTGATTGTTTGTCTTAGAAAGATTTTCAATGGACTAGCTTACATGACCTTTATTTTTTCACAGGTGAACCACCGATCAGATCGAGGTACGCTCGCCTCATAGTTCTGATGCCCCCTGACCCACCGAAGATACTGCAGGGTCCTGTTCTTCAGGCGATCGAAGATAGCGAGGTGGACCTTCAGTGCATCTCTGTTGGTGGTAAACCAGCTGCAGAGGTAAGGGATTTTTTACCTACTGTTAGTGTATCTTTGTTGATTTTTCTTTTAAAACATATAAGGGTGCAAAATTTAAGTTGTCGTTTTTGGTAACCAGACCTCGGTAGATTCTAATTTGAGCTGTGTCCGTTTTCGGTGATAGATTTTCATAAAAATACACTTTTAAAATTTCTTAATCTTTATATATATAATTCTTCTGTGAGAGTGTATGTCACTGAACTGCTCTTAAACGACTGGACCGATTTTGATGAAATTTTTTGTGTGTGTTCAAGGGGATCTGAGAATGGTTTAGATTCACAATTTTGTCCACTGGACAACCCCTATTTTTTTAGGGCGGTACGAAGTTCGCTGGGTCAACTAGTCTAATATATTTTCTTAACACTTTACATGCCCATTAGTATTGGCTATTTGTAAATTTGACAGCAGTATGTAAGTAAGGTAGGTAGGTAATTTCGTTCTTGTGAAACTTAAACTAAATAAAAAAAAATTGAGTGATGTAAAACTTCATTAGCAGGTAATTTTCTTTCTGTTAAGTGGAAAAGATGATTCCCTCAATTGGCTGCCGCCAGTGTTGATACACATTTTCGCTCATTTTATCGCATTTGCCATGATTTACTCAAGGTATTTTAGTAACTCGATTATTTTAGCTACATATCTAGTTTGGGTATATCATGACACTATATTAGTATTTACATAATGTTCAGTCAATATTATTCTTACTTATTTATTTTTATGTAAATTGTCCAGATCACATGGGTGGACAGCGATGGAGGAGTTATAACACAAGGCGTTACTTACACCGCTGAACCTACTGCAGATGGCAGGAGATATACCGCCAGGTATAATACAATGATTACAATAAACATCTTAATAACATATTTGTTTCTTAGGTTTTCACGCACATCACTCATTAAATAAAACTAGTTTTTACGGGTTAATGCACGAAACTTTATTTATTTATTGACGTTTCGCAGCCTTTTCAGGTCTGCATCGTCAGAATAATTCTTATTCTGACGATTTCGCAGCCTTTTCAGGTCTGCATCGTCAGAATAATTCTTATTCTGACGATGCAGACCTGAAAAGGCTGCGAAACGTCAATAAATAAATAAAGTTTCGTGCATTAACCCGTAAAAACTAGTTTTATCTTAATAACATCTTCCGGCTCGTTGGTTAAATAGAAGTGGAATCGCGAAAGTTAAGAAACTTACGCAATGGCCGGTCATTGCTGGGTGGGTGAAAAAGTTCTGGCGGCACATTAAGTCGTCCCGGCAGCATCTACAGTCGTTAGCATCTTTATATTAATGTATATTTCGCGAGGGATTCGTTTTTATTGTTATTTTACTACATACTTCAACGTAATTAATCAAATAATAATAAGGCTATTTAAGGAAATAGCAAAAAGGTAAGTCGACGTCACAGGAGACCGAAGAGCTGGCAGCTACCTCGGACAAAGAATTAGTCTAGCCATTCAAAGAGGTAACGCTGCCAGTATCTTCGGTTCCTTGCCTAAATTGAATTTCAATAATATATTTTAGTTATTAATTTTATGTTTTAAGTTTTTAGTTTTATTGTTCTAGTATTTATATTTTACTTATATATAGTAATTATGTAATTAGATAGAGACTTGTTTGTTTATAGTTAGTGTATTTTATAGTTTTATGATGTGAAATTGTTAATGTACATAAAATGTTACAGGTTGAATTAATCAAATTAAATGTTTTTCAAAAACATTGCACAATAACCATATTTAATTTTAGTAAAAGTTTGATGGGGAACCCGCCCGTGTGAACAAACTCATTGCTTGATGAGGGACGACCACCGACAACTCTTAGAAAGAGGGTAGATGCAGATACAAAGAGAACGAACCTCGCAAAATTATTATGGAAAATGATCTAAAGTGCTCGGTAAAACCTACACAGGTTTTTATAGCACTATTGAAATGTATTGTTTTTTATTTATAGTAATGTGAAATTGAGGAGCTCGATGGCGCAAGTGGTTAGCGCGTTCGGCTGCGATCGTTGAAGTTAAGCAACTTTCGCAGTGGTCGGTCATTGGATGGGTGACCAAAAATTTACTATCTCGAGCTCCTCCGTGCTTCGGAAGGCACGTTAAGCCGTTGGTCCCGGCTGCATCTGCAGTCGTTAGCACCCACCAATCCGCATTGGGCCCGCGTGGTGGGTATGGCCCAATCTCCCTATTCCATCCATAGGGAAGGCCTGTGCCCCAGCAGTGGGGACATTAATAGGCTGATGATGATGATGAATGTGAAATTCAATAAATGAATAAAATAAAATAAAAATATATAAAGTTACAACATTACAATCGAAGTCTATATATTTCTAGCTTCTCTTTCAAACTTTGTAGTTCTCGTCTTTTTGCTTCTTGCACTTCCATACTTCATACTTCACATTGATTAGTCATCTTTAACACTATAACAGGAAGAATGTCAGCATATTCCTACTGTGTCTTTTAAATCTCATTCATTTTTATTTTTAGCGTTGTACACAATGTGTTTTAATTAAATAAGCAAGTTTCTTTCTTTTTCTACTTCTCATTCTTATTTTACACAGATGTAATAACAAAAATTAAAACTAAAAACCTAAAAAAAAAATTAATAACTAAAGTAAATTATTAAAAAGAGTCCCTTTGGGCAAGGATCCGAAGATACTGGCAGCGTTACCCCTTTGAATGACTAGACTAATTCTTTGTCCGAGGTAGCTGCCAGCTCTTCGGTCTCCTGTGATGTCGACTAACCTTGTAATACTTACTATACTTACCAGGTGTAATCCTTGTGGTTCATCATCATCAGCTTATTAATGTCCCCACTGCTGGGGGACAGGCCTTCCCTCTGGATTGAATTGGGAGATTGGGCCATGACCCACAACGCGGGCCTAGTGTGGATTGGCGGGTGCTAACGACTGCAGATGCAGCCGGGACCAACTGCTTAACGTGCCTTCCGAAACACGGAGGAAAACGAGATAGAAGATTTTTGGGTACCCATACAATGAGCGACCACTGCAAAAGTCTCTTAACTTCAACGATCACAGCCGAACACGCTAACCACTCGCGCCATCGAACTCCTCTGTTTACAGGGACTAAAATAACGTTTCTAGGGACTGAAAGTCATGGCCTGTGCCCCAATAGTGGGGTCATTAATAGTCTGATGATGAAACAGATAACCAACTAGCTCTTTTCTAATAGGTGTGATGAATGAAATGAAAATGTATCTTTATTATGTTTTATATGTTATGTAGTATTTGCTTATTGTCAACAGATCCATACTTCACCTCCGTCCTCGAAGGCATCACCATAACCACTCGTTCACGTGCCAAGCTCAGAACACAGCTGACAGAGCGTACAGATCTTCAACAGTAAAACTCCAGGTAATTATAATAGTCTATACTTATAATAAATCTGTAGAGAGGTCAATTCTGTACATGAAATATATTTTCAAAATAACTATCAGGGGGTGATTAGTGATCGATACTGATGCCAAAAATGCAATCAGTAAAATTTTTGTCTGTCTGTCTGTCTGTCTGTGTGTATGTTCCTTATAGAAACAAAAACTACATGACGGGTTTTAAGGAAACTTGGTACAATTATTTTTCATACTCCTGGGCAGGTTATAGTATACTTTTCATCACGCTACAATCAATAGGAGCAGAGTAGTGAAGGAAAATGTTGGGAAAACGGGAGCAGTTACTCCATTTTTTAAGCTTCCGTCGCGAGTGCAGCCCTAATGGTTAAAGTTACATAGAAATCATGTATTGTGATGTTAAATTCTCCTCCACTGCCCTCTTCTAAGCTCACTCAGAGCACCGGGGAAACAATGAAAGAAAACCAAAAGAATTAAGATAATGTTATAAGTATATTTTATCCACTTTAGATACCAAAGCAGAGGAATTCAGTAGTTATAAGTTATTGCTTATATAAATCAACAAGCCTAACTATGTTCATTATTTATATAATAACTATGTTTCACTAATTATAAATATCTAAGCTGAATACAGTAGTTCAAAGTTAAAGTGTATATAAACCAACCAGTTGACAGGAAACGTTTTAACTATGTTTTACTGACTAAATATCTAAACTGAATACAGTAGTTGAAAGTTAAAGTTTATATAAATCAACAGGTTGTCATGAGATGTTATAATTATATGAATATCAGACATTCATAACACTCTACCATGTACTTACATGAGTTCTCAACTATATCTAATATATTTTATCCACACATACCACATAGACTAGACTGAATAAGCTATTTAGTGGATTTCAGAGGTTCTACGGCTCGTTTGATCGATATTGGTGACAAACTTAGTTAATTCCAGTTCTCAGTGAGATAACCAGTTATATAGATATATGTATATATATGGAAATGGGTAGATCGGGGTCCAACCTCGCCTTGTGGTTCTTCTCCACGCTCACCCGGGGTTAGTAATGAAAATACCTTGATTAGGATAGGTTTAGCAGTGTATGATCTGTCCGCTGTTACGGCCGGGTTACATAAAACCGGAGAGCGGCTGGAAAATAAACTCCCGCGTCCCTTCTGGTCCGTGTACAGAGAAAGAGTCTCATGGTTATTCCTCCAGTATTTCTTGAGGGGAACGTACAAGCCGTTCGAAATATGAAACTATCCGTAAGTATTTTGTTTCCTATCACAAGTTACTGCCTTATTGCAACGCCTTGCGAAGGTTCGTGTTCGTCCACCTGCGAAACTCAGTTCGGTTAGCGACTCCGCGCTATTTCCGCCAATATCCTTCAGGATATAAACTTTTCGGATCTATTTCACGACTCCGACGACTATAATATGCCTTATAATATACTTAGGGCAGAAGAAACGATGAAAAGATAACTGTACCACAAACAGATTGTGTAATTTTAAATGTTGTTTTGACAATTGCTCATAGATGATAGACGGGTCGTCCACTCCCAAACATGTGTCTATGATTTGTTTCTCACTCCAACTGAAGGCAAAGGCCACAGTCAAACAGACAGCCGCCGCATTCGAGACGAACCGAAGAATAAACTCAAAACTATATACCTACGCTCGCCGTAAGCTGAGGAAAAGGGAATACCTACCCAAATCAGCGAGGAAATTCAATTTCGAGTAAAATTCAAAATCGATTAAAAACAGCGCCCGATAAGGAGGACTCAAATCGATATGGGAAAAACTATTCAAAATTCAACAACTGTCAAACTCCATCCATTCATCCACGCGCCCCCACAGAGATTCACTGCCTGATTACTTTTTTTTTTTTTATAAGTCTCAAGGCGAATATTTTAGTCGAATAGAAAAATCGCCTATTTCCTCAATGCTACCAACCCAATCAATGAAGTTTGACAGCTATGCCGACGTAAGCGGTTCGCTATCATAGACAAAACAGCTGTCCTACGTGTGTCAGTGTCACGCCCTGTTTAAAAACAAACACTACAGTATGACGGAAATATTCTACATAAAATTGTCTAAAAAATATCCCTCAACAGCATATGTCTATCTTTTATGGTTGACTCACAGTAACACGTGTAACTCCTGATAGTTTAACGGTTCGGAGCATTCTGATTATATTTGTTTACATTTACGTTTATAATACTCTCACTCATCCCTAATTTAAAAAAGTTAACATTATTACCTATTCAATAAAAAAAAATCATAGAAAAAGAAATAAATAAATAAATTCATTGTGTACAATATACGCCTAAGAACTATAGTCTACACTACAGCTCTACACCGAAGCGAAGCGAGGGCAGGCCACTAGTAAATAATAAATATTTCCAACACTCACACCAATTAGCCTAGCCCCAAAGTAAGCACTGTAAGGCTTGTGTTATGGGATACTAGGGTAACGGATAGAATACATATTCTGTACATATAAAAGTATATTTATATAGAAATACATATTAAACATCCATGACTGGAGTACAAATGCTCGCATTCATCACACAAACGTCTGCCCCCACCGGGATTCGAATCGGGGACCTCTCGAGTCGTCGACACCACGAAACCCGGTGTACAAACCACTCGACCACGGAGGTCGACAAATAATTCGATTTAATAATTCCACAGATATCGATCGTAACACAGAGAAAGTCACACACAGAAAAACTTTGACGTGGTGAGACAAACACGGATCTGTTAAAGTTCGAACTTGTGGTACATAGTGCTCACTTAAGTAAAACCAAAAAAGTTTTTCAGTAAGCTAATTAGGAGATAAAAGATAAGCTCATTTATAATTTTGTAAAAAGTCTTTAGGTGGGTGACAAAAGTTAATCTTAAGGTAAAATTACCAACTGTATTAATTCCAAGACACAATTCTAATTAACGAAACACGTTGAAAGTTACTTTTGAATAAATATGACATGAGGAATATTATTAAAATTGAAAATTCGGACAACGTTAAAAGACACTACGGAAAATCAAAACTGTCGTTTGATGGCGTATTTTGGCACAATTAGACAGTTTGAAAAATTACGATTGGCATCCAGTTCGAGAAATGTGTTAAAAAGAAATCAAATAGCGGAAATGAAGGACACTTCTCCTGTCTTTTGGCATGTTTTTGGCACGCGAAGTACATAGAACCCTTACGGTATCAATTTCGATCTCATCATCATCATCAGCCTATAAATTGTCCCCACTGCTGCGGCACAGACCTTCCCTGTGAATGGAGATAAATAGAAAGATTTAGCCATGAAACCACCACGCGGGCCTGGTGTGGATTGGTGGGTGCTGACGACTGCAGATGCAGCCGGGACCAACGGCTTAACGTGCGTTCCAAAGCACGGATGAGCTCGAGATAGTAAATTATTGACCCATCCAAAGACCGACCACTGCGAAAGTTGCTTAACTTCAACGATCGCAGCCGAACGCGCTAACTACTTGCAACATCAAGCTCCTGAACGCTACGGTTATTTAGTTTAATTACAAGCGATGTTGAGTTAGGGACTGCAGTTTTCCGGAATTTTAAATTATTTAATGTTTCATAGCATTATTATATTATCTAAAGGTTCTATTCCCGTAAGCTTATTAATACTTTTATATATTTCCTTTAATCTAGCAGGTTGTGATAAATTTGATCGCTCACTGATTTCTTAATCTATCTTGGAATAGGAGTTACGTTTGTGATCTTATCCAATTTCAATATTAACTCTCGTCGCAACTTTTCCGTTCCTTATTATCGAGGAAAACTTGTACACATAATAATAGTACCTACGCGAGACGCAATTTTCATGATTCACGTCAAATCCACCGCTTCCACAAACCAATTTGGCTGGTCGGGAACCCCTTTGAGTCTACAGCCATCTTCCATTAAAAATCCACGCGCCTCAGAGCCCGCTACATTTTTACCTGTAATCCAAATATTATGCGCAAAGGAATAGCGTAGAAGGAAAACTTTCCACATAAAATCTTAAATGCTGGCTTAATCGTCACGTCAAATTATCTCATTTTTGTTAGGGATAAAACGGAACGTTATGGAAATAAATTGGCCGTTACAAGCCGAACGAGGAACTTTGTTAATGCTTACGATATGATCATTCGTTTATTTAACGCCTGTTAGGTTCGCGGCGGGGTGGGGGAAGGGGGCAGGCCCAGATTTACCAAGTGAAATTAACAAGATTCTGTAGTTGATACTGTTTTTTTAAACGTTTGTGCTAATAATTTATTGACAGATCAAAATGCGAATAAGGTTATTTGGTAATTTGGAAAAAAGACAGTAAGTTGGTGATTCGTTGAAATTTGGTTACGTGAACATAAAATTACCCAAGAGGCTGTAGCAAAGAAACCTATTTTAACCAAATTAAAAAACTGGATTCATATAAACAAAACCTCTAATCTTTACTTATATCTATCTACATTTTAAGTCAAATTAACACTTGGAATCGGTGCCATGCCAACCCAACCAAACCAACCAACCCAAGTAAATGGCAATTCAGATCTCTTAATACACAAAGCACTCCAAAAGTAAAGGACATGGTAAAGTTTTGTATGAGCGATTGTCCTGGCAATGTATAAATACTGTACTTAGTAATATTTAATTGTAAATGGCTGAATATTTATAATTTATATGTAAAAAGGCTCAGGAACTTTTGATAACGTCACAATCATGAAAATTATGAAATTTCCTACTATGCCATTACCGTACTACAGTTGATAAAAGATTTTACCAATTATTTACAGAGTCATCAATATCGCAATTTCTTAGAATCTTTCTTCCCATTTCTCTGATTACCTTTTCACATTTTTTTTAAATCAAAATTAAATACAAATAATTTGTTATCGTCGGCCTGACAGGAAACCTGTGAAGTTTTATTTTGTCCATTTGCAAAAATTAAAGGATTAATTATCATACAGCTTTGTCTCAAACCTGATCAGAATTATAAAATC